GTCAAAAGAATCTCAAATTCGCCATCCGTCCGCCAGATTGGCAGATTTAAGAAAATTAATCCGCAACCGTCTGCTCATCATCACGCATCCGTCCAAAATGCGACGGATCGGTTTGGTTCGGTCGGTTTTGGCGGATCGGTATATCCGCTGCTCACCCCTAGTAGGATGGCTAGAGTTTTTGGGTGAAAAAGATAATAAGTTGGAGAGAGAGAGAAAGAAGAAAAAATTGAAAATTTCCCATTTATAAAATAATTATTTGCAGGAAGGGTGGAATAATCATGGGAATATTTTGTTTTGCAAAAGAATGGTAAAGGTATAACAACATAATAATTAATTTTATGTAATTAATATGATGTGTTAGCCAATATGATTTTTTGAAAAATATTTTTAAAATAACAAAAATTAAGAATTTTAGGATGAAATCTTGGAGATTTCTTAGTTTTTTTTTTTTTGGGTCAAAGATAGCGTTAATATAATAGTATAGTTATATTACAATTGAAGAATTCATCTCTATCAACTCGAATCCTTAATTTTTCACTCATCACACCCTAAGGTGGGTCTATTAGATCATTGGACCACACCCCAATAGCTCGATTTCTTAACTTTTATCATTGAAATGTTTTGCTATTATATATATAGATATAGATTTGAAAAAATCCAAAAATAATAAAAATAATAATACTAAAGAAATGCTTTAAAAAAATCAAACATTTTTTTTTTTTTTTTTTTTGGTTTTGAGCCAGTGGACAGTTGCCAACTGTCACTGGGGTGCTGGGGTCGCCCCCCACTGGGGGTCCCCAGCATTGCCCGAAATGTTTTGCTATTATATATATAGATATAGATTTGAAAAAATCCAAAAATAATAATAATAATAATAATACTAAAGAAATGCTTTAAAAAAATCAAACATGCAAGTTTTTGATTTTGTTTTTTTTTTAAACTTTTCTAGTTCATATAGTCGAACAAATTTTAAAAGTCTAAAACTTTTTAAAAATTAAAAAACAAAAGTCATTAAAAATGAAAAAAATTATTAAAAATGTCAATCTCAAAAAGCAATACATGGTTTCTATTAATTGTTACCATAATTTAAGCTAATACACTATTGGATATTTCTATAAATTAAGCATTAAATTGTACACACAATAATATAATTTAAGAAAGAAATCTTTATGATGTAATTCAAAATTAAAAAATGCGTATTTTTGAAAAAACGTGTGGCCATTGAAGGTAATTTAAAGTCTTTTAAACTAAGGCTTTGTCATTTCCATAATTATTGATTCTATTATTGGTAGTAAGTGATTGTAATTTCATAACTATTGTTATATTAATAAAATTTATTAGGAGAATTTAAATATTATTTAATTTAGCTAAGGCCTCGTTTGGGAACAAATTTTTTTAGTAACTTTTTGATTTTGTGGCTAAAATGTGATGTAAAAAAAATTAATATATTTGGGATGACTTTTTGACTTTTTGATTTTTTTAGTAACTTTTTGACTTTTTTAGCTAAAATAGGCATTTGCCAAACGAAGCCTAAATTAAATTTTAGACTAATTATAAGCCGACACGTGTCTTTTGGAAATTATAAAATTCAAGAAAATTGAGAAAAAAAATGATTGGCAATTCAAGTCTCAAACTAGCGCGTAGACATTTGACAGGTCGGGCTGACACTACATATAGTAAGAGACTTTGTGTTTATCCAAGCTCGGCCCGACGCTAACATCGGGCCTCTACTTTTGCCCAAGCCCAACTAAAAAAATAACTATAAATCTCAAATCCACCCATCGGGCAATATGTTTAAAAAAAAATTAAAACATTTCTTAATTAAATTTAATCACATATTATATTTTTTAAATAAATATATTACTATTATTATAAATTGAAAGATTTTGTGTATAAATTAAAATTTTTCTTAATTAAATTTAATCAAATATCACTACAAATATGAGTTTCAATAAAATCAATAAAGATAAAGTTTATATTCTAATAAAAAAAATATTTTTAATATATTATAATTAACTAATTAATTTAATAATGGGTCGGGCCAAGTTAGGTTGAAAATATAAATTTCAAACCCGACTCATTAATATATCAGACTAAAAATATTAGCCAAACCCGAATCTATGAATTAAAACAACTTTTTCAAATTTTAAAAAACAAGTTCAGGCCAGGCTAGGCGGGTTAGACGAGCCAAGGTCCACCCCTGCCTCAAACAGGCCATAAAGTATTTGCTTATATTATATAATAATAATTGTTCTTGGTTTACCGCCGCCCAAAAACAAAAGTCTCAAATTTTCAAATGTTCTTTAAAATAAGATCTTATTTTTATATTTAGCTTAATGTCTTCAAAAAAAAGAAAAAAAGAAAAATTAGAACTGCTAACAGAAAGTGTAACACATTTTCATTAGTATAAAGCAACGCTCAAACAGTATCAAATAATAATTCATTTTGGACAGCATCCACCCTCAAAAAAAAAAAAAAGTTAAAATTACTTGCCAATAATAATAACAAAAAAATATTACGGATTCACAGAAAAATTTATAATTTCAATTGTTAATGTGTAAACCTTATTACTTTTTTTTTTTTTTTTTTTTAAGTATACATTGAATTGAATTTCCCTCCAAAAGAAAAACTACTTGCAATTTTACACTATGATGATCCCACGGGGGTATTTTTCGGGGAAAAACCATTCTGATCGGGGTCGGGGGGTCGGGTCCCCGTCGGGCCGGGTTCAAATTGCCATCCCTACAGGTTAGACAAGCCAAGGTCCACCCCTGCCTCAAATAGGCCATAAAGTATTTGCTTACGAAGTGGGTTGATTTTTTGACTTTTTTGACTATATGAGTCTGGGCTCAAAAGTTTAGTTTGGGAAGGACTTTTAATTTTTTGGCTTTTTTAATTTTTTTGTGAGAGAAGAGTGTAATGATTATGGGGTTGGATGGGATGTTTTGTCTGTTGTAGCTCATGAGCCTATTCTGTCTTTTATGGCTCATTGAGTCAAAAAACCCAATGAATCCTTGCCAAACCAATCCTATATTATATAATAATAATTGTTCTTGGTTTACCGCCGCCCAAAAACAAAAGTCTCAAATTTTCAAATGTTCTTTAAAATAAGATCTTATTTTTATATTTAGCTTAATGTCTTCAAAAAAAAGAAAAAAAGAAAAATTAGAACTGCTAACAGAAAGTGTAACACATTTTCATTAGTATAAAGCAACGCTCAAACAGTATCAAATAATAATTCATTTTGGACAGCATCCACCCTCAAAAAAAAAAAAAAGTTAAAATTACTTGCCAATAATACTATCAAAAAAATATTACGGATTCACAGAAAAATTTATAATTTCAATTGTTAATGTGTAAACCTTATTACTTTTTTTTTTTTTTTTTTTTAAGTATACATTGAATTGAATTTCCCTCCAAAAGAAAAACTACTTGCAATTTTACACTATGATGATCATGTTAATCATTTGTGCAATTACATTTCACACTTATTTTTCAAATGGCTATTACATCACAATCACTTTTAAAGACAAATGTTTTGAGAAGTTGGTAAAAAGTTAACTTTTGACTTTTTACCAAGCTTTTTGATTTTTTTTAAAGTGATTTGGGAAGTTGATAAAAAATTGACTTTTTTACTTTTTGGTTTAATATTTTTTAAAAGTGTCACATCTCTAAAATGACCAAAATATCCTTACTTTTTGCATTTCAACAACTTTTTGAATTAATTAATTATAATTTTCCAGATTGTAGTTTCGTAAATTTGCAAGTGACTTTTTTGGATCTTCTTAAATGGGATCAGTGACATTTTTGCAAGGGTTGGCGTTTTTGGGAAGTTGCTCAAAACGCAACTTTTTGCTGCATTGTCAAAACGGCACAATAAGAACACACGATTCTTATCTTTTGCCACCATCAATCCAAGGGTCTCATTCTCATCTCTGTAGTTGTGTAATGTCTACTTTCTTCACCTCTGATTTTCCTTAATTTTTGGGGAGAGAGAGAAGAAAAATGAAGTAAAAGTTTTTTTTTTCTTTTTCAATTTTTTTTTTTTGGGTAATAAATATAAGAACTTTATTAAAATATAAAAAGAAAGCATACATTACAGTTTCATATGCTTCTTTCTAATTTTTTTATGGCATGTTTTTCTGTCTCCCTTGGAAGTAGAAGTTAAAAGGCATTTTGTTAGGATTGAAGAAAGCAAAAGGAAAGTAAAAAGAAAAATCAAGTAAATGTCAATGGTGATATCATTTTATGTGTGTTATATTTTTTCATTGTTCAGAATGCTTGTTTGGTGAACTATTTTTTAAAAGTAATTGTTTTTTTTCATTTTTAAAAAAAATCCAATTATTCAAAAAACACATAATAAAGTTTTTAAATTTTCAAACCTGTTATGATACAAAAATAAAAATGATGGGTTGTTTTTGACTTTTCATTGATTTTATTCTAAAAAATTAAAATAAATAAATAAAACACAACTAAATATAAATAGTACGAACTGAGACGTTGAAGGTTTTTCAACTTTCTTCAATTAGGGAATAATGCAGAAAAAAATATATCAATTTAGATTAGACTTCTCTCAAGTTTAAATATGAACTTGGAAGAACCCGTGAAGCCGACCATGAATTTCGTTTCAATGATCCGAACCATTCATTTATAAGGTCATCAGTATATATCATTCATAAAAATAAAAATAAAAATAAAACACGATTGATCTAATAACCTTTACATTTCTATTTTATCTTGTCGCTGAAAAAATAAATGTCAAATATGTTTTTTTTTTTTTTAAATAGATCATCTATTTATTGGGAGACACAATAAAATGAGAAGGCTATGATTATCAAATCGACCATTTTTCATGGAGTACATACACGAAGGACCATACAAAATAAATTATTCGGATTATCGAAACAGGAATAGTGGGCCCTGTGCCCCTCAATTTCTGAATTTGAGAGAATTTATCAAAACAGTTTTTGTTTATAAGTAAAGCATTCAACTATTCGGTGTAAAATAATTGAACTTCAGTTGAGCTCTATTTTCATGAGAAAATCATGTTACCATGTACAGTGCGAGATTAGAGTTTCACTTTAGAACTCCCTGAGGCCAATTTAAACTTTACTAAACTCCATGTTTTCTGAGAAAGAAAAAAGACTTTCGTGCGCAAGCGGTGCTTCTCAAAATGGTTGGCAAGCCCCTAAGAATAAATACATACAAATATACATAGGAAAATGCTATTCTTCCATAACTTTAATACCAAATCATTTGCCAGAATGATTTATCAGTGGCAGTTTTGATATTAAGAAGCATCTTCTACCACATTATTTTGTATATATTTTACGTGTACAGTTTCTATTTATATATCATTTACTCAAATAGGTATGCAACAAAACACAATAATCATCACTAGCCCTCATACTGTCATGCCTTTGGTATATTATTACTCACTTGAGAAGTAGCAAGTTGCTAAGCATTCTCTGCATCACTTAAACTCAGCCGAGCATCCGCATTGACTTCATCAATGCCCTCCTCAACTATCCTCCATCTGTTGAAACAGACGTGAACATAACATATTGGAGTGAGAGGCCTTAAAATGAATGGAAACCAAAAAAAAAACAAAAAAAAATCAATCCCATAGCACCTTTCAAGTACATATTTTCCTTCTTTGTATTTCTGGGCTTTGTCATGTGCTGTGACCTACACAAATTCAACACCAGCATGGAATGGTAAACATGACACAGCATTTTACAAAATAGGAGACATAATTGCAAGTCCCGGGTTTACAAAACAAGAACACACACACAAACACACATTAGCAGTGGGATAAAGAAAGCAACCCAGTGCACAAAACTCCCACTAAAGCAGGGACTACGGAGGGTAAGGTGTATGCAGCCTTACCCTGTTTCTGGCAAAAATAAGTCCCCAAGAAAGAAAGTTCGCAAGTTAAAAACCTAATCAATAATAAGATTGTAAAAAATAAAGAATGCATAAAACACATGTAGCACATGAAATACACTGCATGGCAGTTACTAAGTTTGAAGCAGTTAGATCTAAAAGAGGTATTTTAGGTATAAGAAAAATCGAGACAAAACTTCGAAGATCTATGTGCTTTGTATAACAGTATAGATTATGGCTACTAGGAGGTGTACTAGGAAGCAACTTTCAATAGAGTGATTATGGATGGATACACTATCATCCAAGAGATAAAGGAGCATACCAATAGCGATAAGTCAAGCATTTTGTTCACAGCTCACTTCCTTGCTAGAAATAAACAAAATAGGACTAAGTACAAGTTCAAAGGTATAAGAGAACTTCACTTTTCTTAAACTGTGTTTGGATCATAGATTTGGGTAGGGATTTGGAAAAGAAAAAGAAAAAGGAAAAGAAAAAGGTGGGTGAAATGTAAATGAAATATATATTTCACCTACTTTTTTCCTAATATTTCACACATTTCACTTTCCTTTCCAAACCCCTAATCAAATCCATGATCCAAACACAGTTTTATGTGCGCTTGTTTCCCTATAGGACAATTTTTAAGAGAATCATCATGAAATGATTTTTTTTTTTAAGGCTCCATTTCTTTTTCTTTTTTTGATCTAGGCTCGATTTCTGTTCAGAGCCATTTTTCATGAGTGAAAAAAAAAAAAAAAAAAAAAAAAAAAAATTCATGTCTCTTTAATCTCTTTGAGAACATATGATCTTGCTATGCACAAATTTCTCTACCGATGAACTTCTAGTAAAAAAATTCCATTGACAAACTCCATGCAAATCCTTCAAGAAAAGAATTTTAGTTATGTAACCCCTTATCTCTATATTCCATAACAGAACCCAGTTTGCAAATATGCCAATTCCCTTGGCTTCAACATACAGTATAAAGCAATCAGTTTTAATTATGGGATTTTATTAGTTTAGTTATCCTATATATTAGACTATGATATGGTTCGAGACTAACCTACGGTTTTAGATATTAATTGTTGAAATATTGATTTAGAATAGTGATTCCCAATGTTGTGAAAAGCGCGCCTAGGCACAAGGCGAAGCGAAGCGTACTGTTTGTGCGTGGACAAGTCCCAGGCGAGGCAATTTGAGTTAGGCGCGCGCCTTAGACGCGACTTGAACCAGGCGACAGAGGCGCAAGGCGCACGACTAGGCGCGCTTGATTTTTCGAATGGCTCTTAACCACAAATCTGATCTAACGGCTGCGGAGTGTGTTTCGAATGGCTCTTAACCACAGAGGATTACAACTCATGCACAATATGGCCCAAATACGACTAAAATGAACCCTAACCTGTGTCGTCTCTTCCTTTCTCGCCTCGCCTTGGATTGCGACTTCTTCAACTTCGCAGGTATGCTTCGCCATCTTCTTCTTCTTCTCCTCTTCGACTGGGCTGCTCGACTTGTTCGACTTCTTCGGTTTTGTTTTTTTTTTTTTTTTGGCTTCAACTTCGACTGACTCTCTCTCTCTCCTTCTTCTTCTTCTTTTCTTCTGGTTGTGCGACTGCTCTGTTTTGCCTCCCCCTTTTTTTTTTCAATTATGCCTTTGAGTCCGTTAGAAACAAAAAATAAAAAATACAAATACAAAATAATGAACTAAAAAAAAACATAGACTAAAAAAAATAGATTTTGATTCTGATTATGATTAATTAACTAAAAAAAATACACTGGAAAAAAAAATTACAAATAATTAATTATTCACAAATAATTAATTAATACAATGTTCTACTAGTCTCTTTTTTTTTTCCTTTATCTGTTAGGGGAAAAAAATAGATTCTGATTCTGATTAATTAACTAAAATTATTTTCCAAAATTAGATTTTGATTCTAATTAACTAAAAATAGATTATGATTCTGATTAACTAAAATTAATTCATATTTTCCAAAATTAGATTCTGATTCTGATTCTTATTTTCCAAAATTCATATTTTTCAAAATTAGATTCTTATTCTAATTAACTAAAATTAATTCATATTTTCCAAAATTAGATTCTGATTCTGATTTTCCAAAATTAGATTAGTCTATGTTAATTTTTCTATTTTTTTCTAAGACTGTGCGTCTTACTTCAATAAAGCCCGCGCCTC